AGCGTATGACTTAGGTGAGGGGCACGACTACCCGCCTGGAAGGCGCTCTCATCAGCAAGTCACCCAGGCACCAACTCCTGGGCGTTTACGCTTGACTACGAAACCATGCAGTGGATGCAGCTCGATCAAAACGGCGACGCCAACAGCTGGTCCCTGGGCGAGTTCCTCGCCCAGGATGAGGTGCGAGTCATGATGCTCGACCCAGCGTGCACCAAGTCGCTCACATTCCGTGAGTTCGTCAACGGGCGACTGCGATCTCGAACTCCGACAACTGGACCGGTGCACCGCGCGGAGGACGATGGCTCCCTCGACAACATCCCTTCATCGACGGACGCCTTCACCGCCGCCGGCCCTGGGCCATCCATCGCGGCCTCCGACTGGCTGCCGCAGCTCACACCCTAATCTATCTGCCTTAGGCACGGAGCCAACGGAGCCATCGCGCACGCCCGCAGCATCGCGTGCGGCTCCGAGGTCTCCCGCCGAGACCGGCTCGGCGCGGGTTTGACTGACGTGACTGACTGATGAGTGCTTGCGAGAGAGAGATTTTTAGCAATGCTTGCGATGGATGATCTCCGACACCCAAAACCAAAATGCAAATGCGGAGGGGAGCCCACACTTCGCGTGCAGATCCTGCGTCTCTCACGCTGCCCGAACAACAGAGGCGGGTACCGCCGCGCGCAGGTCCCACACTAGTCTACCCTTATAAGTCTCTCGTGTCGGCGCCGACGCTCTTTTAACGTAGAACGTCCCAGCTGAACACTCGAGAACACCGCCCGCCGACGATCGATCAGTCCACAATCGTCGGCCCGCAGCGACCCGCAGCGATGGATGCCGCCGCCCCCCCGGCCCCTACGGCCGACGCGCCGATGCACGACCGGCCTCCGTCGGACGGCTCTCCGGCCTCTCCGGCCGCTGCCGCCCGCGCTGCTGCCGATCCAGTCCCTCTCACGCTCAGCGATACCCGCACAACCTACGACAACTTTGAGGTCGCCGGCTTTGGCCAGGTGCAGCCACCACCTGCTTGCCTCCATGTTCACGCTTCGCGCCCCTCCCCCCCCGCTGACGCCGCCGCATGACCTTAGGTGAGGGGCACGACTACCCGCCTGGAAGGCGCTCTCATCAGCAAGTCACCCAGGCACCAACTCCTGGGCGTTTACGCTTGACTGCGAAACCATGCAGTGGATGCAGCTCGATCAAAACGGCGACGCCAACAGCTGGCCCCTGGGCGAGTTCCTTGCGCTCAGGATGAGGTGCGAGCCATGATGCTCGACTATCAGCGTGCACCAAGTCGCTCACATTCCGTGAGTTCGTCAACGGGCCGAACTCTCCAAGTCGACGGCGATCTCGAACTCCGACAACTGGACCGGTGCACCAGCCGCGGAGGACGATGGCTCCCTCGACGACATACCTTCATCGACGGACGCCTTCACCGCCGCCGGCCCTGGGCCATCCAGCGCGGCCTCCGACGGCCTGCACGTGATCGAGGTACAGAAACGGTGGCTGCCGCAGCTCACACCCTAATCTATCTGCCTTAGGCACGGAGCCAACGGAGCCATCGCGCATGCCCGCATCGCGTGCGGCTCCGAGGTCTCCCGCCAAGACCGGCTCGGCGCGGCGCGTGGCCGCACGCCGCCGTTGAAAAGGCGATAGGAGAGGGGAGAGCGCCGGCCACATCGAGCGAGCGCTGACGTGTAAGGTGTCTGCGCTGCTCCGGTGTGTGTGGGATTATGCCTCCCCCCATCTGTGCGGCGAGGTGTTTGCGGTGGGTGCGAAGGCCCGTGCGCGATAGCCTCCCATTGTGCGTGGTGTGTCGGTGTGTCGGTCGTCCGGAGCGTGTGGCGGCGCCGTTGCATGCAGCGACTCTGCTCACGTGCCACGACTGCTTTGACTGACTTATGAGTGCTGATGGATGATCTCCGACAACCCAAAACCAAGATGAAAATGCGGAGTGGCCCCACTTTGGCGTGCAGATCCTGCGTCTCTCACTGCCCGAACAACAGAGGCGGGTCCGCCGCAGGTCCCCACTAGTACCTAAAAATCCTTGGGCCCGCCGGCTCTGCTGGCTTGAGTGCCGGCCGGAGCTAAGAAACCACGGCGCGGGGTGGATGAGGGCTGTGGAAAGGCTTAGAAACGGCGGCGTGCCGCAGCATCCTGTTTTCTTAATGCCCGCAACCCACTGTACCACGCTGAGAAGAGGCGGACGAGAAGGAAGGCAGTGAGAGACGGCAGTGAGACGGAAGTGAGACGCACTGATGATATTAAACGATGGAGAGGTGAAGGGAGGAATTCATGTGAGCCTGAGAGCCAGATTGCTGGACAGATTCAGCAGGCCGTGTACCTCGGTGTTTTTGTTAGTATCGAGGTCTCGAGAGTTAAGGCACTGATAAATCGCCCGACTCGCGGCGAGCCGAGCCAGGCCACGGCGCTCGGCCTGCTGAGAGAAGACCTTCCCCGAGCCCGACGGCAGTGACAATTTACCCGACATCAATCGTCGACGGCAAGCTCGAGAACTGCGCCTCCAAAGTCGCCCAGATTCGCCTCTCGCGGCGCGCTGAGTTAGTATCGCCGGTGCGTCAGCCGGCTCTGCTCCACAGCAGGGCATGCCTGACTGGCTCCTGCTAGCCGTGCCGCCGCCGGGGCGGCGGCGGCCTCGGCGGACCATCCGGCGCGCCGCGCGCCCGATGGGGAGGTGTTCACCACTCCTGGCTCCTCACCCCGCCACGCCTTCGCGCAGACGCCGTGGCACCCACCTCAGGCGCCGCTCGGACTCGGCTGACGGCCGTGCCCAGCCGACCGCTTGGGCCTTGGCTCGTGCCCAGCCGACCGGCAGGCGATGTCCACTCGCTGCTAGGCTAATCCCGGGCTGTCAAGCGGCGGTGTGGTGCCGTGAAGGGCAGCGGTGCCCAAACTACGACGATTAGTACCGCGCGGGGGCCCATGCGTGCCGCAACGACCCACAGTGCTGGTTGGTACCACGCTGTTCACCTCCTGACCACAGAGCACCGGGACGCGGTCGGGCGATCCGAGGACCAACTAGGCGTATGCATTGCTCATCCAGGGCTATCACCTGGACCCATCAACAGGCGCCTGCGGCGCCGTGGTCAGGAGGTAGGTAGGTAGGTAGAAAGGTGAAGAACAGCCAGGCTCGGAGGTGTTGTTCACACCTGCGCAACCATTCATGCGCAGAGCAAAATCGGCCGATGTGTTGCCACACTGCTAGTATGCGTCGCTACCGTTGCGCCTCTGCTGCTGCGCTGCTCTGCTGCGCTCTCTTCCCGCCTGTGGCTTGCCTGCCCACCGCGGCAGGTGGTCGTACCGCGCGGCACGCAGCCTTCGCAAGCTATCGTGGCGAAGCCGTGAGCGACGCGAGCATGGAGGTTGTGCGTGGCGCGGTGCCCGACTGGCTCCGCGGCGCGTACCTCCGCAACGGCCCCGGCCTGTTTGAGGCGGGCGAGCGAAGGCTGCGGCACTGGTTCGACGGCTACGCCCTGCTAACCCGCGTGCAGCTCAGCGGTGGAGAGACGCCTCCGCGCCTCACGACTCGCTTCGTCGAGACCGACGCGCTAACGGCGGCGCGGGCGGGCTCCCTCGGGTACGCCGAGTTCCAGACTCCGCTCAGCGAGCCGGGCGGTGGCGTGGCGGGCGCGCTTCGGTCCCTGGCGGCGCTCGCGGCGGGAGACCCAACGGACAACTGCTGCGTCAACCTCGTCCGGCACGGCGGCGACCTCGTCGCGATGACCGAGACGCAGCGCTCCTGGAGGGCAATCGACCCGGCGACGTTGAAGTCGCGCGGGCGTGGCCTCCTAGATGCCTCAGAGACACCTAGCACGCACTCCCTTCCTTTCCCGCACCTCCACCAAGCTACACCTCTCCGAGGCCGTGAGGAGGCGACTCACCGGCGTGCGGAGGCGGGGCGCAGGCGCGTGCCGTGGGCGGCAGGCTCGCGGCTGGGCGTGCTGGGCACGGCGCACCCGCACCCCGACCCGGCGGGCGGAGGAGGGCTGATCAACGTGGCGACCGACATCAACCCTCCCTTCTTCTCGTCGTACCAGGTCTACACTAACCCTAACCCTAACCCTGACCCTAACCCTGACCCTAACCCTAACCCTGACCCTAACCCTAACCCTGACCCTTCTTCTCGTCGTACCAGGTCTACACGGTGAGCGCACAGCCGCCGTGGCATCGCCAGCTCCTCGCCTCGATCCCGTGCGACGACCGCGCGGCGCCTCGCCGGCTGCACTGGTTCGGACTCGCGTCCGTGACGTGGCTGACTGATGGCCAGCTCCTTGGCTTCTCAGGCGCCGCGCTGGCTGCACTCGTTCGGCGTCACGGACCGGTCTGTGGTGGTCATCGAGCAGCCGGCCGCGTACGACGTGCGCCGCTCCCGGCGTCCGACTCTGCGTCTGTGTCCGCGGCGTGTCTGTCTCACGGCGTGTGCGGTGAAGCACAGGTGCCAGCGATGCTCGGCGTCCGGTCCGCGAGCCACGGCGCACTCGACGGGGCACTCGAGGCACGCGAGTCGAAGAGGAGGTCACACCACACGCGACGCGCCCCTTCAACAGGCACCCTCGACTGGCTGCCCGAGCGAGGCACGCGCGTCCACGTGCTCGACCGGCGTAGCGGCGCCGTCGAGGCGCAACTCATAC